TTTGTATAATAACATAAATTGTTAAATAATACTATTATTTGGCAAATTTTTGAATAATAGTAATTTAGTTCAACTAGGCAAATGATTGGCTAACCTGTACCACTTTGCAGCACATGTTCATTTGCCTGTTTAAACCAAATTACTGTTAATCAATCAAAATAATATACTGAAATAACAATATTTGAAGTATTTAATAAGCTATGCTTGATGCACCAAGTTGTGTTACAAGTTTATTCAAATGGTTCTGAAACAATGTGTGTTGTGAGACAAGTTTATTCAAATAGTTTTGGAACAATGTGAATTGTGATAATTCTGCAGAGAAAGTAGAAAATATAGAGAAAAAGGTGGTAAGTGTAGATAGAGAAACAGTCAATGAAGAAGGTAAAACAAATATAAGTGAATTGGAAGTGGAAAACTTATCCAAAAGCCTTGATATGGAAGAAGCCAGAAATAATAGAGTTCAAGCATTAGAATATCGCCAAAAGTCTGCAAAGGAAAATGTTAGTAGTAAAGGTCATTGTGATGATAAGGAAAATAAAATTATAAGGAATGAAAATGAAATATTTATCTGTACCAAGATGCCAATATTACTGATAAGGATGAAAAAGAAATACTTGAGGAAGATTCGAAGTGTATTAAATGTGAGAATCGGTTGAAGAACCTAAATTGGAAGATAATCATAAATTAGTATGTGACTAAAAAAAAATAATTGAAAGTAGTAATTCAATATTCAACATACCTTTGAGATAATCGATGTTGAAACTATGCTGAAGGGATCTGATAGTAAAAATGCCATGGTTGGACTTAACGATAATCTAGTGATGGATGATAATGATAATCATTTAGATCATAATCAAAATTATATAAAGTATAATGATAATAAATTTAGCAATATATCACAATTATATTGTGAAGACAAACATTTTAAGCCATGCTTTATTTGATCAATTCCTGTTGCAACCCTACAAGAACAAATCGATTTACGAATCATCCAAAATTACAGTTTGCACTAAACTATTTTAAGAAAAGGCGAAAAAACACTAGTCATACCAGGTTGTAAATAAAAGTAAAAAAAATTATCGAAATGTCTAAGTTATCCATTCATTATCCGACACGTCCTATGTGCGCACTAAACATTTTTTGTATAGATTATTCGATTACTTTCTAATCATGTGATATATCAATTTTTTGATCACTTTTCTAATTTTATTTCTTCTTACGTAGGAAGTTAAGAAAAGAAATTTAGAGAATGAAAAAAAAACAAACAAGAGTAAAAAGAAAACAAATTGTAAGCGAAAGTTAAAATTAAGTGAAATAAAGAGTTAAATGATTAGAAAATCGAATAATATATATGAAAAATGGCAGTGCTTATGTGAGACATTACGGATAAAAATGTTATCAGTTAAGTTGTAATGAAAATTAATTATTCGTAGGTAGATATGTCATAAGCTTCACTTGAAGCTAGCGTTAGCCACAGTTTGAAGCCAAGTTTAAGTTAAGCCAAGCGAATAGCTTAAGCTAAAGTTTAAATTTTACATACAGTTAGTTATAAATAAATAACTATTGATCTTAATTGTAGCTAATAGCTTAAGGGTGCTCTCAAGCATCTAAATCAATAGGTCTGAGTTCAATTTTTAATTAGTGGAAAATAAATTATTCGATCA